AGAAAGGTGGGTCTCCTGGGTCACTGGCTAGGTGAGGGTCCCAGCGCTGCTGTGGGAAGAGCCGGGTCCCACGGGCTCAGCCACGCGGCCGCGAGCCACGAATGCCTTGCGCGAGTGTGAAAACCGCGGCGCTGGGAGAAAAGAAAGGGTGCCGTTTGCGGTGACCTTTTTTTTTGCTTGCGCGCGCCGCGACCTTCTCCCACAATGGGAGCTTGTGTTGATCTCGGCGGCGGTGGCGGCGATCGTTTTCACGTACGCGGTAGCCAGCCATTCTCTGCCAAGATTTCGTCACTGTAATGGGGAGACATTGCACGTGCAGATGTGTACGGCGTTGTGCTGTGCGTGACTTTTGACGATTTCTTCAACCCGGACAATTCATATTACGCTCAATAACAGACGACGTTTACGGGCTATCATGGAATGTTACGTTGGATATTTGTGGTGTTGTTAACTACGGTGATTCTTAAGCTGATTGTGTATCTATTGACCATCTCTTGTCACCTTGTTTCATCATGAACTAAAATTTCCATCGTGCCCTATGAAGCGTTTGCTATATAAAAAAATAAACCTCATCTCGCCTGTGGGTATGCTGCTGGCACCGAATCTGCTTTTATAAACACTTGAGGGGTGTTGAGTGCCTCATTAATTGGATTGTGCTGCCTTTTCCACTGGAAACGATGCAAGGGGCTTGTGCTCCTTCCCTCAAGGAGAGTTCAGTGCCCAAATATTCCCGACCCAGCCTCGGCAGTGATCATGAGTTGGCTTGTGCACAACCACCACATAGTTCTTTCCTCATGTGACTTTTTTTTAACAAGGTGCGATTTTTTTTTTGCATGGAGTAAATGGTGCAGACTTGGGGAAGAAGATGGTCGCCCTCATTGGCTAAAGAGGTAGCGGGTTGGACTTCAGAAGCTGTGCGAACATCCATTGCTACGAATTAAAATCGTTAAGTTTTCCCTCTCTTTTCCTTTGCATTAAAAAGAAAACACGGACAACTGTGGCTTAAAAAAATTATTGGAGAGCATTGTATCAGGAGTCCAGTGAATTTGTTCCTATTGTCAGTGAAATGGAACCTTACATCTCTTCCAAAGCCCTGTAGCTATGGCTTGGCAGCTGCCTTTCTAGGCATTGGCAGATGATGTTTTGCGAGTAAAAGGGTAAAGATGCCTTCCTGAAATCTTTGCTCGTGCCACTGCTGTCCGAATGGCCTCCACTGGAGGCTATTTTGGCCTACTCTTCCATGTTGACGAGACGTCGTTGAAGAGGCGTGAGACTCCACACTTTGCCCCCAAATGACCGTGGCATTGCCACGGTCATTGGAAACTGCTGCACCGCACCGGGAGACCGACTCGGCGACCTCCAGTTGCGCAAGTGCGCACGACTACCACCGAGGTGGTGGCCACATTGAGGGACGTTTGCCAGTACCTGCCGTCGAACACCTGTCCTTGTAGGAATGCTTCTTTCTGCCAGGGCTGTGTGTGGCTTGCACTCAAATTAGCCTAGCTCTGGGAACATTTGCCTCCGTGCTCAGCACTGCAGGACCAGAAATGCAGGCCGAGAGCCCCCCCCCTCCTCATCCCCTCTGTCATACTTGTTTGAATCCGTCGGAAGTGCGAGGCGAGGCAGTTGGCGTTGTCGCTGCGTAAAAGCATTGACTCCCCGGCGCCAACTTTACCTGTTTGATTATGCGGTTGTTTAAATCCACCGGGAACGGTCGATGTAACTTTAGGCGAGTCAATTCGTAGGAACTTGGGAGATGTAAAATGATTCAGCTCTCTCGGCGCCCCTTCGCTTAGCGGCGTAAGAACTTGTTTTGTTGCTCATTTGGTTCGAACGGTAAATCTGTCCCAGCCCTTACGTCGATTTGAATAGCATTGTGGGCGTGTGGTGTATGGTCCTACTTTGGTTTGTGCTTTTGCATGCAATTTACGTAGCAAAAAAAAAAGTTTATTTGAATGATTGTCAGAACGTTTGGATCCAGCGGCTGTTCATTGGTTAATGTGTATGTTTAGTTGTTTACATGGAGTATTTTTTGTTAAATAATGAAATATGGTACATGTTTTTTTAAATTGATGAATATATGTATAGTATTTATGCATAAACTACTGCTCTAAACAATGGCCATTGCCCAGAATATTAGTTTATCAAATACATTTTATTTAACCATGTGAGAACTCAAGATACTAAAATAGTCTATTTTATAAGAGTCATCTGGGTAATTAAAATTACAAAAATAAAACGTATAATTGCAAGTACAGCAATGGAACAAATAGAAAATCGGCAAAAAATCAAGTGACACGTGAGAAATCGACACATCGCACAAACATAAGTCGGTATTAAACATTTAATTCTCCACGGCGGATGTCGGCAGAGTGTTAATGACGATATGGGCAAATTCTTGTCGGGCTTGAGCACGGTAACGGCAACGCGACTGGGAAACGAAAGCAAACTGGCTCCTGGTCAATCTTTTCCTGAAGTCTGTCAGTGTCTTTGTCTCTGTTGGGTGACCATTGTCAAATGAACGGTCAAATACATTTGCTGAGATAGGGAAACCATCCATACTGGAGCTGATATCCCTTTTGGCATTATCAGAATATCAGAATGTACCCGAGTTCACTCGCCAACAGTCTGGGCTAAAGAACACAGCCTTTGACTCGGTGGTGGCACGATGCTAACGCACAACCGCAAGCCCACTCTTGTGTAGCACAACGCCGCGTGGAAAAATCCCATTAAGCGTGTGGCAAACAATAACGGCAGCAACGTTACGAAACGTGTTTTTTGAGCGGCACAGAGTTAAAACTGCCAGCCCCCCTCCACGCAGGCTGCGGACGAACACACGCGCGAGAGAGCGCCTGCGCGTGCCAGCACGTTGCGCGTTTAATTGCGAGCTCGGCGGCCGGCGGACACAGCGGAGCGCAAGCACTCGGCTGCACTTGCTTGTTGTTGTTTTAATATCCCGAGAGCAGTGTTTTCGTTGGGTTATCTTACAACACGTCAGGAAATAAAATACCGTGGGCATTCAGAAGTTTGGTATGCGAAGCGCTAGTACCATTGCCAGCAAATTTACATTTTCTGTGGAGCGTGGCGCGATACAATCGCACACTTTTCCTTTATGCCTGCGTCGGGTTCCTTAAACTCGCAATAAAACCATAAGTTGTCAATAGGCATTAACGCGCGGACATGTTCGCATTAGCCCCTGGCTTCTTTGATAATGGCTATAATTATTGGGGCAGACTTTGCGGAACCTGCATTTCATTTTCTGAACACGGCAATCCTGCATTTAGCAGATTTCAGGGGCTCGCCTGAGCTCCTGTGTTGTAATGGAGAGCGACAGCACTCTGTTCTCATTATTTACTTTCGGACTCGCCAAGTGAAGTTGTGATCCTGTTTGGCCAAACGTGTGCGGTTGGTCATACGTTTTGAAATCCGGAGTCTCTCGTGATTACCGTTGTCGGAAGTGTTCCCTGGTAGCCTGTAACTCGGCAGGTAATGGGCGCAGACAAGCACAGGAAGCGCCCCAAATAAGGGCTCTTTCGAACCTGTAATCACGCAGGTCCTTTTATTTTAAGCACAGAGGAGGGGCAGTTTTTTTTTTAAATTAGGTACATGCCTCGCTGTCGTGCGTCTTGAGAATTTCTTGAGACTATGAACGGTTATGTTCCCAGTAAACATGCAACGTTGGGGCAACGTTGGCGCAACATTCCATGTTTACTGGGATGTTATTTCAGCAAATTAATTTAGTTCAGAACTGCAAGGAGCCTTGCACGCATGAAATGCTTATAAAAGTTTTTGCTGTAACGTGCAAAACTATTTTACGTACATATTTTGGTTTGGAATATGACCCGAGTGTCATCCTTATTGTGCGAATATGACAGAGATGTAAACATACATTACGAGTCTTATTTGATCTTGTTTTTATTGTGTTGTATGTTCACCTTTAAGGTACTGTATCCATTCCCGGTCTGTTTATGTTTGAATGTGCTCTTCCCTCTTAAAAAAAAATACGATGGTCCCCAATAGATTTAATCAAAATACGTCTGTTTTGCAAAAGTACCCGCATGCAAATGCAACCACCACTGGGTTTTTCAAACCAGCTGAATCAACAGTGAGATCCTGAACCAAAATTCTTGTCTCTATATCAGTCCAATGTTTAAAGATGTCGTATATAACGTGAAGCTATATTATTTTAGTCAATAATGTACATCGAGGCTTCAAAATGGCTGCCAGCCAAACTATGTATAGCAATACAATGCATGCATAACATGCCATAATAGACAAAGATGAAAACCATAACGACTGTAGGTTTTTAAGTTTCCATTCGTTGAGCATTTTACAACGCATTTTAAAATCCACAAACTACGGGTTGGATGTGCTCTCTTTGCTTGCAGCACAAATTTGTGAATGGATACATTGTGGTGCGTGTGTGTGTGTGTGCATGTATGTACGACTGTAAATACATGAAACTTTAATCTGTTGGCTTTGGAGGTGTAATATTTTAATCGTGCACGCTTGCCAGGTTACATCTCTACAACCTCAGCAGCAGAAGTGCGCTGAGGGAGAGTGCGCTCATTTTCTCGGCTCTGGTTCTTGGATAGTAAAGCGTATGCTCTCATTATCGTCACACTTTGCGCAATGCAACTATATCAGTGTTGCCGTGCTCGGCCACCACCCATGCGGCATTGCCTAATTCTCTGCTGATTCCGTGAAATGACACGTGGAGCAAAGACTCTCGGAAAAGAGTGTGCGTGAAGGGCGAGAGAGGGGGTGGCGGTTTTGGGTGAACGCACCACGCAGTTGTATTCGTTTTTCCTTTTCCACGCTGCCTTCATCATCACGGTTGCCACTGGTCTCGTGTGGCGGGGAGCTGAAGTGTATTTTTAGTGTTTCAACGTGACGCGCACGCACGCGGTGAGATCCTGGGTCAGCCCCTCCACGCCCACCAAAATCTGCCCCCCCACCCCACCCCGCCCACCCCACCGACCTCTGTGCTCTTTTGACAGGAGTGCGACCAGGTGCACATTGATGATGTATCGTCGGACGACAATGGCCAGGATTTGAGGTGAGGCCCCGCCCCCTGCGCCCCGCGCCGGTGGCACCGCGACGAGGGCGCCGCTCCCAACGCTCCGCTCGGTGGCTATCTCGCGTCGCCCCCCCACCCCACCCCCCGAGGCCGCTTGCCTCTCTCCCCTCTCTTATGAAAACACGACCCGCTGCCTGCGGGGCCCCGCGGGGAGCCCGCAGCTGCCTCGCCGGGTCTTGGACAGAACCTCCGCTTTATCTACGTCCTCATCTCATCCCACAAAGTTTCGGGATCCCCGCGGATGGCTCCCCGGTCCGCGCCTGCGCCGACCAACGTGTGCATGTTGCACGCTTGCACAGTCGCGCTCCTGCGTGCGCGCAATGGCAAAATAATCGCCCGTTTCGCAATACAGACGCCGGGACGAAGTGCTGTAGTGATCGGCTGATATTGGCTGCCGTGGAACAGTTTGGGTGTTCCACATAGACAAGGATCCCCCATCTAGTCTTAACAGACCGTTGAGGCAAGTGCTGTTAGCGAGCGCCTATGGAAGGCCGGCACGGCACGCGAGGGGGGTGAGTGGCCAGCTCCATGCCCAACCGCCATTGGCTCCCGAGTGGTGATATTTCCACAGCGCACCAGGTACTCATTTGAGGTTGAGTCGACCTAGAGGAGGCCCAGGAACGGTGCAGACGATCGTCACTGGTGTTGGCCGTGAGACAGGAATTAAACTCTGGTCGCCGAGTTCGAAGCGTAAATCCGCTAATCACTGCGCCACCACTCCCCACAATGCACACACTCGGAACTGTTTGGTTGTTCAACAACGGACACACAACTCAACTGTGTTCCACAACACGGTTTGGGTGGCATGTACTCGCTCTGCGAATAACCTACCACCTTCTCCTACCTCTGATTCCCAGTGCTAACGGCAATGTGTACATGACAGCACACCGCTCTAGGTACTTATTTTAGGCTGAGTGGCGCTAAGGGAGGCCATGTAAGGTACAGATACTAATTACACTGAACACACAAGGCGCAAACATACAGACGCACGGTCACAAGTTCATGCTCTCTTGCATGCCATAGTGCTCACGCATGCCTTAATTTTAGAATCTAGAAATCATTGCTCCTTGTCCTGTAGCTTTAAGAAAACAAAAAAATTATGCAGAAATCAGATTTCTAGTTGTCATTAGATTTCTGTTTTTGTTCGTTGCAATCTTTTAGAAAATGATACGTAGAATACAATGAGAGTTCAATTTTTGTCCTCCGTTGTTTTTGTTAGCGAACAAAAACATTGATTCTGCGTACGTTGTTATGAAATGGTGAGGCTTTGCCAAATTATATTTTTTTCCAGTTATTGAGGTTTTCTATAAACGCTTCCTTTGATGTATTAATATTATTATTCTTGTCATGTCTTTATAGCCTTCGTACGTGACAGCACCTGAATGTCTTTCAGGGTAATTTAGGAGGTGTTTGCTCACTTGCGCACAATTAAATTGGCCTCCACAACCATAAACAATGGCCTCTCTCAAGAAGGGTGCTGTGGGATATTTCCCGCATGGCCGAGCGAGTTGATGCTTGATTCTTGACGACGTGCCCATAATGCATTGTCATGGGATCCAGAGGCTCAATTCTGCGACCCCATGGATTCAGAGGAAAGCGCCCTACCTCAAGACCACCCACTCACCAGTGTTGTATATTGTCTTTTGTATTTTTCACAACTCTCTCCCACATTCCTTCTGCCTGGATTATGTGTGTGTTTGTTTGTGTATCTGTGTATGTGGAGAGGTAGTGTAACGGTTAGCGCGCTGCGCTACGAACCTGGCTACCCGGGTTCAATTCCCGCTCACGGCTAACACCAGTGACGATTATCTGAACCAGTTCTGGGCCTCCCATAGGTCGACCCAGCCTTAAATAAGTACCTGGTGCAGTGTGTAAACATCACCACTCGGGAGACAAGGGCGGCCGGGCGTGGTGCTGGCCGCCCACCCCCTCGTGTGCTGTGCGGGCCTTTATAGGTGCTTGCTAACAGCACTTGCCCCACGAGTTTAAGGCAATACGGGGGATCTTTAGTCTTTGTGTCTGTGTTTTTCTGCTTATGTGGCGAGTGGTGATATAGAAGTCTGTGCACCCCACTACTAGAATCCAGGCAAATCCTCTTCAACGCATGATGTTGATTCTAAATGTGGAAGGAAAAACCGGAGGACCCGGAGAAAAAGCCACACGGGGAGAGAGACACGCAAACTCCAAATATGCAGCTGGCATCAGGGTCGGGATCGAATCCACAACCTCCTGTATACCAGGCGAGGGAGATAACATCTCGCCACCGGGGCAGTCTCGGGAGGGCCAGGGTCCTTCATCAATGAATTCCAGGAGCAGTAGCCAGGGTGGCATTTAAGTTTGCGATTACACTTATATACTGGTACATTCCAATTATGCAACTGTTATCATTGACTACCAATAGTCTTGTGTTTTGTACATGTGATGAGCAGAGGTTACTAATTTCATCAAAGGTGTAAGGTAGGCTCGGTTTAGATGATCTGAGCACGTGTTGAGCAGAGGCTATGAAGATGCGATGAGGAAGGTTAATGTAGACGCGACCAGTGCAGGGGCAGGAGATCGAGGGTGGGAGAATGTGGTGGACTGGGGTAGGAGGGCAGTGGATGTGACTTAAGAGGAGAGGTGCAGAAGAGATTGTCTTTCTCCATGTTCCTCTGAGCAGCCGACCCCATGTAATTACGTGACATTTTGGCTTAGATGAAGCAATGACACAACAACGTTGTGGGGGGGGGGGGGGGTAAAATTGAAAATGAAAGAAAAAAATCTGGTCCTGCATGAATCATAACCACAGCTGTCTTTGTTCGGAGTGCAATCCGTGTGACATTATTGGGCGGTAGCAGGTTTCGAGTGCAGCCTCGGCTGCATTAATTGCTATCACCTCATCGGCTCGGGGGTTTCGCAACGAAGAGAGACGTCCAACATTGGTGCACAAAGGGGGTTGGCTTGGCAGATGTTTAATTTCCATTCCGTGGAAATGAAACGGCAAATGACAATACGCCACTGTGAGTCCATCGCTTGTTTTTAAAAGGGAGGCAGTAGAAGCCGGACCATCGCCAAAGTGTATTCCTGTGTCATGTTGGTCTGCAGCCATAGCACATTGCGGCTAGAATCTCAAGAGCCAAACGGGCTCTGGTCTGGAAGTACTTGAATTAGTAACCACCAAGGAACCATAAATTGCCCTAGGTAAGCAGCATTAAGGTGATTTCCTCTCTAAGCCATCATTCAAGTGATATACCTATGCAATACTGAAAGGAGACGGAAGCCAACAAAGCGTTGTCTGACTTGTGCATGTTGATCTTACGAGCTGCTTTATTCACCTTGGGAATCTATGTATGTGAAGCTTCTTTGTAAATTATGAAATATGGTTGTGTGTGCGTGCATGTAGCGGGGAGTGGTAGTGTAGCGGTTAGAGCTCTGCCCTACGAACCTGATTTCCATTCCCGCTCATGGCCAACACCAGTGACGATTATCTAAACCAGTCCTGGGCCTCCCCTAAGTCGACTCAGCCTCAAATGAGTACCTGGTGCGTAAACATTGCAACTAGGGAGACAAAGGCCGTGGTGTAGCCCCCCCCCCCCCCCCCCCGTGCCGGCCTTGCTAGGTGCTCGCTAACAGCACTTGCCCCAACAGTCTGTTAAAGGCGATACGGGGATCTTTGTGTTTTTTGTTTGCATGTACTGTGTATACATTTGGCCTGTATTGTTTGACTTTCCCGCAATGCATTGAATTGTCATGGTTCAGGAATAAATTACCTCTTTGTCTCGTTGGTTGTGTCTCATTAGATCTGTTAGCCTAAAGGTGGTGCAAGTTACTGGCACGATTCGATGCTGGCATCGTGATACATGATTACATTATACTTAATTATTCAGTTAATCATGACACGTGTCATCAGCATTTCTCTGAGTATGAAATAAGCTTGATTTTTAAAAACATAGTAGAATCGGAAAACATATATATGTTCAACTTCTTTCGCACCGTACGTGGCCAAGGCGATGCTCAGAAAGTATTATTCACGACATTGACATAGCTATTAAGAAAAGTAAAAACAACACCTCAAATTGTAATTTCCTGGCATGTGTCCGAGTAAAAGCGGCGTTGACGCAAATGCAACATCCGTTTGTACGTTACTATTTTTGAACTCCTTTCGCACCATACGTAGCCGACCGTGATAATCGGTGACGCTCGCACGCGGCCGTGCGTTCACATACGCGCAATGCGGGGGAGAGCCCAGGGCCACCGCCCTTGCCATGCTGGTTCCGCCGCGGCATCGCGTCGCTGACTTTGTTTTTTTGCTTGCGCGCGCATGTGCGTCTCGCTCCTTCCCCCGTTGTTGCTTGGCCGCAGCACGTACAACTTCGCCACGGACGGATTCCACGCGTCGGCGACGAGCGCCAACCTGTGCCTGGCCACTGGCGTGCGCGGCGGCGTCGACTGGATGAGGAAGCTCGCCTTCCGCTACCGGCGCGTCAAGGAGATCTACAACAGCTACAAAAACAACGTCGGAGGCGAGCACCGCGGCCCTCCTCCCGCGGAATTAAACGAAATGCGTTTTGTGGATGGGCTTTTTCCGTTGACAGTGGAGCGCTGGCGAAAATAACAAAGCTCAAACACGTTCATCGTTTAATACTGCTCGAATGAAGAAACGATATGTGACAAGCGAAGGGTTTTGGAAATGGCCTTACTTCATCCCAGAGAGAGAGATCTCTCAACTAAGACGTGTTATTGACAAACGTGTGTAGAGTTTTTGTTATTTTTCTTTCCACGGCTGAACTGCTTATGTATAAGTGTGTTTTTATTATTATTAAAAATTTTAACCAAAATTGTCAATCACGTAATTTGCCTTTTGGATAGATTGGCCCTCACCATGGGAATTTTGAATTTCCTTTGCTGGCTCGCAGACTACATGAAGTGCTGAGAAATAGAGATGAGCAGGAGATGATTTTTGACATGACTCCATCCCCGTTGTGCTATTAACGGTCATGTCACAAGATTAAATAACACCCTTTACAGCTCCCTCAGTCGCGTCATGCCAGAACTGCTTGGGCCTAAAGTTACATGTTCATTAAGCCTGCCACGGTTTATATTTGTTCGCTCACACTCTTAATCATGTTTAGTTTACGCACTTAATCTGTTATTGCTGCGGATTGTCACAACTATGTGGCGTTTTCAGGTTTCACTTTTTCGCAGTCGATATCGGGGCTGACTGATGTCAAAGTGTGAAATATTAAACTCTATAATTACATTTAAATAAATACTACATAAACGAAATCGAAATTTTCCATCGCTCTGGTGACGCACCATAATTCATCGCTCTTTGCAAGTGTGAATTAGCAACTTGCCAAGACATTCATACACTTGCAACCCCTTAAATTATTTCACAATAAAAAAAATAATCGTGTTTTTACATTTTTATTTCAGTACTGCGTGTTTTATATCAACGCTTAAGCATTTTTTTGTTCACTCGACTCCGTTGTAGTTTCACAAGCTTACTTTTTGTTCACTCCCTCGCGCCGAACTCCACGTTCGAAACACGGGGGTACCCAAAAAAGGCGGAGAAAGGGGGGCCGCGTTATTTTTCGAGAAAACACGAGCGCCGTCGGTGCTGCTCCTCGAGAGTTATTTTTGTAAGCGCCCGCCGTCGCTTTCCTGTTGTTGTTGGAGCAGGCCTCCTCGGGCCACCGAAGCGGGACGCCTGGCTGCAGCTGCGCGCAGAGATCGAGGCCCTCACCGACTCCTGGCTCACGCTCGCCCTCAAGTCGCTCTCGCTCGTCCACTCCCGGTCGGTCCAGACGCCCCTGCACCACGCTGTGCCCCCCCCCCGTCAGATCGCTTAGACTCCTCGTCTCATTGTCTCGTTGTTATTGTTGTTGGTTGTTGTTTTTAAAGACGTGTGCTGCCTAAGAATGTTTTTTCAGGCCCAATTATGCCTATGAACAAGTCACCTAGAATGTAAATGATCTTGTCAGGTCTCAGAAGCTAAGCAGGCTTGAGCTTGGATAGTGCTTGGATGGGCAAGCACCAGGTATAAAACAGGTGTTATAGGCTGCTGCGAGGCTAAGTTATCAGCAGGGGGCAGTACAGCAAAATATTTTGTTGTACTGTTCTCGACTGCAATGTCTGTGTTCCTGGCCCATTTTTTGCGTGATCACACTTGTCGAACACAGGCCCACAAACCCAAGCGGCCAAATAAAATCCACATTTGAGGCTAATGGAGACATACACACCTTACAAATGAGACGGAACAAGCAAGAAGAAGCAATGCAAACAAGATGTCAAAACGAGACAAAGAACTAATTTATTCTTGAATCAAATCATGGCCTCGTATAGTGGCAAATCCGTCGAATCGCCGATGCGATTGAACCGTTACTTGCTTGGGTGATGAGTAACAAACGGCACCCCCACTCCGCTTGGATAGAGCGGCGCATTTCTTCCGCCAATAAAATCGTGCGTGCCTTGTGCACTTAATTAAAACAGCACGAACGTCCGCCAGAACTTTTATTACCCAGCTTAACATCACAGTAATTAGCAACGGCGGTGGGTTCTATAGATAAAGCGCATACGCTTGAGCGGCTTGTGGGCTTTGAGTGCTCGCGCGGTGAAAGTAGATTGTGGGCGTTGTTGCGCTAACTGATGCTGACACTTGATGGCCTCTCGCACAGGTCAAACTGCATCAACGTGTTGGTCACCACAACCCAGCTGGTGCCAGCCCTGGCCAAGGTGCTTCTCTACGGCCTGGGAATCGTGTTCCCCATAGAGAATATTTATAGCGCAACAAAAATAGGTAAGAACCACAACTCATCTTCTGGCCAGCTTGCGTGTAACTTGGGTGTAACAGCCACGTCCGCGCTTCCCTGTTTAGTGCGCCTAATTGTGCCACCTTTTAAAGAATGTCGCAGTGGGTAACACTTCTTGTGCCTCATAGTAAGAAGAGCCTAGGTTCAATGACTGACTCGAGCACCACCTCTCTGTGTGGAGTTGATATGTTATCTTATACTGCATGGGGTTTTCTCTGGGTTCTCCTGTTTCCTCCCTATTGATAAAAAACACCATAAAATGTCACAGGTACTCGCCAAAAATCCCAGTGCCATATAATTACCTGTAAACTACCCAATTGGAATTTACAGATAGCAACTTTGTCTTCTCCTGAAAAACTTGGCAGGACCCTCCAGGAGAAGAGGTGTGATTCAGTTGAGGCTTTCCTGGGTAAACAAGCACAATTATAACTATTATAGATAGTATAATAGGCCTGTGTTGCTTGATTATATTTACTAATAAGCATGATGTCGCATATCTGACTCGCATCCGCCCTGACCAATTAACTGCCCACACCCGCTTTAATCCAGTATACCTATACCTCAGGCCCCAGCTAGTCAGATATGCAATGTTGTACTGTCCATAAAGTTATGTGGTCAATTTTATTTATTCACATGTGGGGCTTGGGTAATGGTATCGGTCAGAAAGTGGCCTCCGCTAAAAATGTAACATGGAAGTCTGTTAAAACTGGACCATTGGCAATCTCCGGATCATCATTAGACCTCCTTTGCCAGTGCCAAAATATAATAGGGTTTTTCCCCTTTTTTCTGGCAACAAAACTGAAACCTTTTTACAAGGATCCTGTCTGCATTAACCACAATACCTGCAGTCAAAATGCAAACAAAAAACATACTATGATAATATATGCATTTTTCTTAGCTCTTTCGGTAAAGTCACGTTGAAGGGAAACAATAAAATAATAAAAAACATATAAAACAATAAAAATTCTCACGACGTTTCGACCATAATACAAACGTCACCTGATGACGACCGTTTGTATTATGGTCGAAACGTCGTGAGAATTTTTATTGTTTTATATGTTTTTTATTATTTTATTGTTTCCCTTCAACGTGACTTTACCGAAAGAGCTAAGAATATGAATTACTGCAGTCACGAAAGCTTTAAATAAAAATATATGCATTGTCCTTGAAACTGATTGGTCCACACCAAGTGACGGCTTTCTTTTGAGCCTCGACCCAATTGGTGCTCGACCACATGACGCCAAAAGGCCAAAAGGCGTCATCTGGAAGCAGGTATTGTGGTTAATGCAGACATGAATCCTCGTAAAAAGGTTTCAGTTTTGTTGCCAGAAAAAAAGGGGAAAACCCTATTATAAGTCTCCGGATCATCGAGCCATATAGACATCTTGGCTCAGGAAACATTACCTGCTCACGCTCAATTCAGTTGCTGACATTTTATTTGCAGCCGTCTGAAAAGCAGGCAACCCCCCCCCCCCCTCCGCCCGGTTCATAAATATAAACAAAACAGAATAAAGTATTTCAATTAAATTGGATTTATGGGAAACTTGTTATATTTCATAATTGCAAGGAACAGGCCGCTTTGTTTTTTGGACTTTTTGGCGAGTGGTTTGTGTCGGTTTGAACATTCTGTGCTATTGCAGACAGTTGGTCAGCCCGCTTGAATTATTTACGTATTGCATAAACGCGCGTGTTTTCTCTTCTTGCTTGTAGTTGCACGATTAAGTCCATCACCATTCCTTTAGAACAACATTTTTAATGTTGGCTGTAAATGTCGTCGCTCGAATGTTGGTAACGCCTAAGCATGCCACAAGGAGAAAAAAAAACGAATGCCAAAAAATCTGCATTCCTTCGAAAGGAAGCTCATTTGCTGGGTGTGCTTGGGCACGCCCCACGATTTTTTAAGCGATTTGTTTGGTGGATTGCACAGAGACAAAGCCATCAAATGCGTGAGACACCCACCCACATATGGCAATGAGATATAGTGCCTGTAACAGGTAGCACATAAAGTCGTTTTTTTCTGACCTTGTTGGTGGAGATAATTGTGTGAGCTTACTCAAGCCACTCACATTTATCACTACATTATATTTAAAAAAAAATCTAAAAAAGCACTGGCATTATATCCCAAGCAGGATGCGAGTGAAAAATACATTGATACTCAGCGAGGCATCCCCGGGTGAATACAATTGTTATTCATGCATTCTCTTGTTTTTTGCGAGTGAAAGTATTACAGCATATATAATTTTGCATAAACTGTAGTGTGCTTAGGGTCGCTGAGTATTGTGTTGTTGTTGCAGGCAAAGAGAGCTGTTTTGAGCGCGTAGTTTCGAGGTTTGGCAGGAAAGTTGCATATGTTGTGATTGGAGATGGGCAAGATGAGGAACAGACATCCAAGCAGGTAAATAACCCTATCCCTGTGTTTTCCCCAGGCAAAGAAAATTGCTTTGAGCGAATTATGTCCCGGTTTGGCCGGAAGGTAGTGTATGTGGTTGTGGGCGACGGCGTAGAAGAAGAGCAGGCCTCAAAGAAGGTAAACAAGGAGTCGCCGAGCAACCGACTGCACTGCCAGGCTGTCACACTCTTCCCTGGAGAGCCATGCCACTCGTGTCGTTGTCGTCTTAACGGAAAACCACGAAGGTTTTGAATAACGTGACGGCAACGAAAATAGTTTTCCTTCGTAGCGTTGGAGCGAATGTGATAATGCCGTAAATATGAAAGGTGTCGTTCACGATCGCGGGAAATTATCGTTCGAGTTGAAAAGCCGACTGACACGGCAGAAGCCTCGGCATTGAATCCAAGCGGGAACCCTTAATTGTGCCGGATTCTTCGAAGCGTTTGTTTTTATTGAATTTGACCTAGCTCCCATCTGAGTCTAAAATGTATAAAATGTCACCTATTGACACTTTTAAACCACCCATAAATTACTGCAAGAGCTGCTGAATCTTAAAGTGTTGGTGCAATAAGCCGAACATTCCAAAGTGATTTTTCATGACCCTCATGAAAAAGTGTCTTGAGACTATTAAGGCTTTCCTGAAGAAAGGACATTTATTTATTCGTATTCTTAGAAAATAATTAAAAGCATGTATAATATAACATGAACATATAATTAGGTTAATTGTCAATCCGCTACTCAATTTAGGCCTCCGTATTCCTTGTCGGCCACGGGAGTTGGTTGACCATACCTCACGACACTCGTCAGTGTGGGTTAGCAAAGGGAGAGGAGGGATGGCGGTTGGACGACATGGATGGGGGTCGGGGAAGGGGTGGAGCGGTTACCAAGATCGGTTCAGACATCACTCGCCACTCATGTTAGCCACGAATGGAAATCTAACTGGGGTCGTTTGATTAATGGGGCAACGCCCTGTCCAAAGTGCCACCGCTGCGCCTCTTAGAAATCAACATCACTTAACGAGAATAACAATTCCCAGACTGTCCTGCACGGGGCCAACGTGCTGAGAATTGACACAGCCCCCCCCCCCACCTTTACCATAACCTTTGAAGCCCCCTGCACAAACGCCAGCATGAGGGCCTGCGTTCCACCTACGCCCGTACAGGTACCGCGCTGGCGCGCGCCTTCCTCATGAGTCCGAGCCGTGCGCCCGGCACGTTCCCACGCTGGAGTTACGTTCTGGCTCAGTCGCTCGTGCAGTCCGCCCCCGTTTTTTTTTTTGTTCTTTTGCCGCGGCTTCGCAAGCGCTGGACGACAACAACACACGCGGGGCGTCAACTGCGAAAAGTTGGCGTTCGCCGAAAGTTTTAACGTATCAGTTTCCACGTTTTAAAGTTTTTAAGCCGTTCCAAAGTACACATGGGAGAGACGTGGCTTGTGTTACATTACTTTACCATCGGCAAATTCCATATACGTTTGTACTTTTGTTTTGGATGTTTTCAAAGTGTATCCTATCAGAGAGTTTTCAGTGTTTGCTTAAAATCAGTACGAATATTTTAAGGTCAGTGCTCATGAAATAACACGATGTAGATGGAGGTGGTAAGCTTTGATGAAAACATGATCCAAAACTACTGCCGTTGTGCGTTTTTTTCTTCCCAATTCAAATGTGTTTTTATGCCTTGATGAGGTCTCTTATTCTATATTTCTTATAAAATCATGGTTAATATGTCGTACGAAAACTAAAATCATGGTTATTATGTTGTTCACTGTGAAGAGGAAAACCTGATCTCCTGTGTTGAGCTTCATGGTAAATTGAGGAGGGGTATCTTTGAAAAAAAGGCTCAAACCTACGTGTATATATTGATTTTTAACCAGCACTGATTAAACCGTGACTGCATACACTTGATGCCTCGTGAAAACTGGATGACGATGCTATTGCGTAGGCATTTGCCATACAGCTCCGATGCGTTTTCGGGTTGCACTGCAAAGTTGTTCGGCATGGTATCTTGACGTTCCACTGCAGGTACTTGGAACTCTCAGTTTTGCCGACGAAGCTTCTCTATCGCGTGGAGCGAAACGTCGGGCGCTGTGCCGAGCAACTCGCGGCACAAACCCCCGAAACCCGTATCGGAGAGAGCCGAATAAAGCGATGCCGTTGCACGCGAACGTCACCCGAACACTGCGAGTGTTAACGGACGGCTCTCCTCTTTCCGCCAGCATAACATGCCGTTCTGGCGCATCTCAAGCCACTCGGACCTCATGGCCCTGCACCACGCCCTGGAGCTGGAGTACCTGTAGTGCCTGCGGTTGAGTCGCGCCGCCGCCGCCGCCGCTGCTGTCGTCCCCGGAGCTCAAGACGCCTGGACTCGGTGGAGCCGAGTGAAGAAGTCTCTTAGCCCCAGGCTCCGACGGCTTGCGCGAAGCGAGACTTCGCCCGTGCCTCGCTCTGCCACGGCGGGACACGAGAAGTGATTTCTCTTTAACACACACACAAAAAAAAAAAAATCTACGTAGAATTTTGTTCGCCCCCGGGACGAAAGGGGACCTATGGTGGAACGGAGCTTACTTGATGTTACCAAGGATTTGCATGGACCCTTTTTACGTCCAAACCGGCCTGGCAGAAAAAGGAGGTGGTCTGCAAGACTCGCGGTGGACTTGGGATGAAGCCCGGAGTGTTTCTTCAGCCACAGATGTGGTGTTTTCTGTTTTTTTTTATTCATTGTTTCAACAGTGGCTTGATATCTGCTCTTAAGTGCTCAAGTAACAAAAAGGCTACATTACAAATGACAGACACAGATGGAGAAATCAGAATGTTGACAACTATAAGAGAAAAGTGAGGGGGTGGGTTGGTGGGGTGGGGGTCTGTTATTAAAATGTGTTTGCGAAGATGTAAACCGTTGTAATGTATTTATTGTAATTTCCCCCGCTCCCCCCCCCCCCGTCATTTGCTGAAGGTACGTAAAAAAAGGATATGTTGTAAAAAAACAAACGCAGAACCTGCATCGACAATCAAATGTACACTTCCTGCCGTCATTTAACCCATTGTTTAAAAGAAAGGGGGGGAGATGGAAACGAAAAGGAAACATTAAAAGGTCGTGACGTGTAAGGGGGGGGGGGGGGGGGGGGGCGGGCCTGTGTGTCGGCATTGAAAATGATAAATCACGTCGGCACATGCTTCTGTCGTGCCACGTTTTTCACGAATTACTACTATGTCACAATGCATCGTGGGTAAATATGTAGATACAAAATAAAATTAACTTCCGTCCTTGTTTGACCAAAATGCGTCACTCGAAATCAAAGCTTCTAATAATTTGTGACTGTTAATGATAATGGCAGACACGCGGAATTGTCAGTATATATATTTTTTAATTGTCGCCTTTCGTGTATCTTTTACTGTAGAAATTGGAAGCTGATTTGTAAATTGATCTGTTCCGTGCATTTAAGAGTAACGTATTTGTTGTTTAAAAAAAGACCTAAGGTTGAAGCAAAAAAAAAACGTTTTGTAAGTAAAGTATGGAAATATGTGATATTCCCTTTGTGTGTAGAAAATCAATATTATCAACTTGGACAGCATCTGTCAGCATTTAGAATGTTCTACCTTGTTCGCTGCTGCAGCAAACTGTTTCCTATGCAATTCAAGCATGACGTTTATAGGCGTAGGTATTATTTTTTTAAAAAATAATTAGACAATATTGACTGGTGCCTTTTTATTACCAAGCGGTGCGCTGTTCAGCAATTGAGTTGAAATCTCTAATTGTCAGCACTCGAGACTAAATAAACTCTCAACTGTGATTGTGCGATATTTAGTTTTAAGTCCAGCAAATGTTGTGGCTGGCATTAATTGAAAAAAAGCAAAACAAAACGCCTTCTGTTTGGAAAATTCATTATTTGTTGCATTTAAGTTGTTCAACTTTTCCTGTATCTTTCCCAGAATGAATTACTCCGTGTGCGTTATTGAAAGCCGGATAAATGTAAAACGTCTTAAGCAACAAACTTAGCCGTGTCCAGTTTTGGTGAAATGAATGTTTGCGAAGTTCCCTTAAATCAGGGCTGCTCAACTTTTGACGTCGCTGGGGTTCGTATTGAAAGCAGATTAAATTTAAAAAAAGGTGGCTCGCGTTACAATTATTTTGAGTGCGAGCTTTGCCGAAAATGAACATCCGCGAATATGAACAAAAGTGGCATGCACGAGCACGAACTATATTGAACTTTACAATTTGCATTACATTTAACAAGTGCATGAATGTGTTGGCAGAAGGAATTTAGCAGTGAAAGGTTACACATTGAGCAGCCTTGCTTTAAGTGCATTCGGGTCACGCTGTGTACGGAAAGAGGATCGTTTATTGCCACCATATGAATAGGAGCTCCATTCTCAAAATGTCCCAACGTTTCGTTGTCCGCAAAGCATTTTACATCGCTCTGCTGTGTATGTCTGTTGGAAACTGGCTTCTGATTGCAGATTCAAAGGGACATGCTTTTGACTTTTCTAACATTTGAGAGAATTACATTTGAATAACAATAACCAGGTGCTCACATGCGCTAGATGACGACGCTTGAGCAACCCGTCCCGGTTCTCGGGCCGTCCTGTCGGCGTGGGGTTTGTCACCTTCCCTCCCTCACCCCTCTCCCCCCCCCGAGTCAAAACAGCCGACTGCTGCGACATCCAGGCGAAGGGTGGCAGAGGCCCCTTTTCCCTCCCGACGCTGACCTCGTAAAAGCTTTGCTTTGTGAACTGAAACATTTCAGGGTGACGTGGTGTAGGAGTTTGCCCTCCTCCATACACACTTCTTCGTTTAGTCACGCGGATGAGCGAGTTGGCCGTCACTATGACCCGAGTGGGATGTGTGACGCTTGCCTTCCATTTGTATTATATATTGCGTGTTCTAGTCTGGGAAAAAAAATTAACAGGAGCCTTGCAATATGTTTAGCTAATTTAATAAAAATGTTGTTTGAGATGACACCACTTTTTGTCCTGTGACCGGATGTTGTCTTTGTTCATTTCAAATAGCATATTTCAATGAGTCAATTTTTTTGGTTGTATGTTGAATGACATTTTACACTATTAATTTACTTATTAATTCAACGTCTTTATCTAAAAATTTAAGTTGAGAGCAGGGGCGCAGCAGTTAGCGCTTTACACTAAGAACCCCTGTAACTTAAGTGTGATTCCTTGCCACAGCTAATATCCGTGGCGAGTGCTATATGAAGTTGTCCTGGGTCCCCTCCCCCCCCCTTCATCTATCCATTCTCTCCAGCACTGTGAAGTGTGACCAGCAGTGGATTGACAGAGGGCTGCAATCTTAAGAACGATCACAAAGTTATACCTACCACGTGACTTTACCGAAAGAACCAAAGAGTATGGATTCCTGCAGTCACGAAAGCTTCAAATCAAGATTGATCACAAAGTTATCCGATGTTATTTTTTCTGAATGAACGGGCAAAAAATATGTCAGACGTCAATGAGAACTCCTCTTACCTGCGGCAATGTGCAGGACCAATAACGCGGATGCTACGCTACGTGAGGTTATCTCCATTCGTCCATGGGAACATTTTCGGTGCATAACAGGAAGAATAGGACCGCGAATAATGAGTTTTGCGGATGCTACGGCTGCCACCAATAATATTATTCGCAGCTGAGAGGGTTATGCATAAGAGGAGTACGTTCTCCTGTGCCACAAAAAAAACATCAGCAACACACTTTTTGCTGTGTACTATTAAAAACCCACAAATACATAAGGATTGTTTTTGACCAACTTATGGCTGCTTACGAGAAGTAACGTGCAATTTTAAAACGGCAGTTAGGCGCTGTTTGTGCAAAGTGGTGGCAGAAGAAATCTGATTTTTTTTTTCTTTTTACAAATTTTAAGTGTTTTGAGAGAAAGAAAAAACACTTTTTTTACAGTTTATTCTGGAAAATCCCAAAGCCCCTGAGTTGCATCTGACAAGAGTCAACTGAGTAATGGCCTAGCAAAGTGCCCAGTTCAACACACCGTTCACATCCTGTCACTCACCACGTCAATTCTAACGCCGACTGACATAGCATTATTTTATTTTTTTCAAAGTTAAGCTTGCGAAGTACAATACTGTATAGGTCTTTTAACAGTGCGCTTGAGACTCGGCAAAAAAAAAAACTACTGTATAATGTACTGTGAAGAGTTTGTGGGAATGGCCTTAGGTGACTTTTTTTAAAAAAATTACAGATGCCCCAAACTTTTTCCCATCTTTGCCTGCCCTTGAGGCGTGTGTTCTTATACAGAGTGATCGCACAGGATGTGGTTAAGTGCAAGGAGTATAATTATAGGTGTCTGTGACTTTAGGCACACTCGCAGATGAAAGTTATTTGATTTTTTTTTATGTGTGGGAAGAATCGATTAATTGTAGTTTTACTTGCGTGCATAATTTGCTCACAATGCATCTAAAGACCTTCGCTATGTTCGTGGATAGGATTATATAGTATTGTATTTATAATATTCTGTGTTGGTGTTTTGTTCAGGGCACTATATTAGATATTTTGTAAATCAGTTGTGTTTTTATTAATATCCATTTCATGTTAAGACTCAGTTTTATTCGATCTTTTTGGAAATCGTCACTTAATTGCATCAACTTTCATTTCGTTTCAATACCATTGTTCAAAAATGTTGAACGCTACAACACAGTTTTATCAATATTCATTTGTCTTCAATACCATACTTAAATTATTAATATTTGTCTCCGTTGGCAACATTAACGTCAAATCATCAATGCCGCTCTCCCCTGGAAAACGAAAATATTTTGACCGTGAGCCACAATTGCATTGGGTGCTGCTGGCTGGTTTCGTAACACTGTACGCGGGACGTCCTCTCTATTGAGCGAAACCGAGTTTTGAGAATGCGGCTGGCAAATAGCTATCCAGAGAAACGAGGGAATCCGGTAACTGCGACAATCTTGGAAGCGCATAGAAGCAGCTTGTGCGTGGCAGGTTAAACGCAGCGAGTGCAGCACACCGAGAAACACCAGTGAATGAGCTAAGGAATTAATTCCTGCTCTGGTGCCCAACTACGTAGCCAAAGAAACGGTAACAGCGCCGTTTGTCCACCAACTTCCTTCTGAGGGACTTCAAGCACCCATCCGCTACAGGCTGCTTTTCAAAACGCACGGGGGTTCCTCCTCAAAGCACCCATCCCCGCTCACCTTAATGTACAAACATTCAGGAGGGGAATTAATGACTTTATGCCCGTGTGTGCACTGGGGGGCAGATGGCTGGGTGTAACAGAAAAGCGGTGTAATGGGTGACCCACAGCACTTGTGTCTTTACCCCACATGCATCACAAAAATAATCCCCAATATATGATGGTCTCAAACACAACGTGCGTGCCTCCTATCTGCGGTTCTTCGAATTAGACCGCAGTCTCCCAAATTTCGTAGGTGACCAACGAACGTCTGTCTCGAGGCAGTGCTACTGGCATGTGCAACTTGTTTTGATAACGACGAACGGTTGCAATATGCAAGCTACAGAAAAAAAAATAGTCGGGTGAACGGCAGCGAGAGTGAAAATGAGTTTTTTTTCGGTTTTCCCTGTTTATTCATTGGGAAATCGCCCCCAGGGGAGTCGTGAGAAGCCCTAAAGTGGAATTATCTCCCGGCGGTGCTACGGTGACGAAACGACGAGGTGAGATAGGCCAGGTAGAGGTGTGCGTGGTAACGCTTAACGATTACCCTGCACTCGTTCCCTTGCCACTCATTGCCGGCCTAACTTAACCATCAACCGTTTGCTCATTGCTCCATTCGCAACACGGTTTAACACCATAAGTCCCATTCCCCCCCCCCCCTCTATACATTTCCAATCCCGGCAGGGATACAATGTTTGCTTATGATGCCAGGTTCGTGAATTCCATGTCGGATTTATGTAGCGCCTAACGGAGACGTTTATTTTGCACCTTGTAATTGTAACCCCCGAGCTACATGATGACACGGTGGTGTAGTGTGTAACAAAAAAAGTTGAATGTTAATTTAATCTACGATGTTGAACTTCAGTTGGTTATGAGTGCAGCACGGTTGGGTGTTTTTTTTTCTCTTTCTGCACATTTAATGATTCATAAAAGGAGAGGCGTCAAAGTGGGACATAATTCAGAGTGGCTTTGAAAGCCGAGCGATAATTCGATTCAAAGTGTGTTCCATTTCATTCCCCATCCTTATTTTCTGCCAGGGCATGAAGGGTATTAAACGAGAGCGAGTAGTATTTAATGCTTTACAAAATGCACTTAATATTGGCGGGTTAAGTGCTCCATTTTTGAGAGTGATTAAAAATGACCGTTGATTATTTTCATTGCGTTATGCATGTTTTGAACTCCTGCGTTTGTAACGTGTGTTTATTTGAAGATTTAAATTGGATGGAAACATGCTGGTATTTTTTTCTTCTATATATGCTGCTGAAAATCTGCCCCTGCTCTGCTTAATTTAACACAAATGTACTGTAAAGATATCGCATAACTTTAAAACAAAGGGCTCAGGATTAAATAATTATTTTTCAAATGTGACCAGACATGTTTAAGCAGTGCTGCCTTTGTTCTCTGGATTCTTGTTTCAAAGCTGAAAGGCATTTGGGGTTGAAAACCACACGTTGCCAAATGTTTATACGCTCATTCTCCTCAACCGACGACACCGAAGGAATCAAGCCAGTGAACATATCAAGTGATAAAGTGTTGCACCTTACAAATGCCACTTTACACTTTGGCTCAGCGGTGCGGCCGTTTCTGCTTTCGTTTGTCGATCATCGCGCCGCTCAGCCCTGCTCGCTCCTGACACGTAAGGCCCTCGTTGGGAATCAGAGTGGAGATTGTTAACACAATATTACGTAATATTAGCGTCTAGTAACATTTTGTAAATCTCCAGCTGCTTTAGTGGAGCAAATTATGCAGCATGCTGAACCAATTTAGCCATCATGGTAAACTAAAATGCCCCTCATTCCTCAAGGCCTGGAGTATGATGTTAGCTGACGGCGGTTGCTTGACGGCTGGTTTATTAGATTTGGTCATAGTAAACCCACAGCAGACTAGCCCCTTGGAAACATGATTAGAAGGAATTGCCTTGTTTCTATAAAAGCCAAGTTGCTTTAAAGGCCAGATTGTTTTTCTGGCATTGGCAAGGAGGCAAAATTGCCTGCTCGCCCGCCGTACAAGTTCGCACAATCAAGAAAATACGACTTTGCTTATTGCTCTTGACAATGGCGTGCAAGCCAGCCCGATATCCACGGGGGTTGATCTGAAAGCTGCTTCAGAGAATAATGTAGTTTAATTGATCCCGGCTGTATCCTGCCACTAATATTACTCACACACATACATACACACACAAAGAATTCAGTTGGGGGTTTTTCTCCCCTCCCAGCCCTCTTTAATTTTTGTCCCCCTCCCTACCCACCCCACCACCCATGCCCTCCTCATTTTCTCTTTTTATGCTATTTATTAAATTATTTTAAGCGATACGTTTGAACGACTCCACTTCCCTGGAGCCTCATTGCGGCATTTGTCTTAACCGGCGCTAGCGGCCCAAAAAATTGGGTGGCGACGTCAGAAAATTTTCTCCAGACGTTTTCAAGTCAATGAGCGGCCCTCGCTGTGCGTTTCCCATTTAGAATTGGAGGAAATCTTTTCGGAGTCGCATATTTTGGGCGGTCAGATAGAGGGGTGGAGGGGGGGGGGGGTGCTTTTGCGCGTTGCCGCCGCGCAAAGCATGTGCACTGTGACAGTGATGCATGTGGGGTAAAGACAATTAAGTGGCTATGGGTCACCCATTAGGCAGCCTTTCTGTTACACCCAGCCATCTGCTCTCCCCTACGAGTGCACGCGCGGGCATACGCTGCATTAAGTCATTCATTCATTCCCCTCCGTGTTTGTACATCGAGGTGAGCGGGGATGGGTGCTTTCAGGAGGAGAACTCCGTGCGTTTGAAAAGCAGCATGTAGCGGGTGGGTGGTTGTAGTCAACA